TTTTTTTTTTTTTTTTTTTTTTTTTTTTTTTTTTTTAGAATTAAGTATGACTTTTAAAAATAGAAAATAAAAAAAACAAAATATTTATCAAACTGAATCTAAATATTCTTTAAAAACAAAGAATGAAAAAACAAATTAATTTTGTTAAATTTATGTTAGTTTTTTTATTAAAAAAAAATTGGTGTTTATTCTGATTTTTTTGCTTTAAAATATTGTATTTAATTCATGAATATTATATAACAATTTCCTTTTATTTTTGTTGGTCATTTTTGTCTTCAACCACATTTTTAATTATTGAAGTTTGATAATTAACATCTCACCATTTTTTAAAAAGTCATAGTTTTTAAAGTTTTATTTCTTTTTTCTTTTTAGTTTCGTTTTAAATCATGTGCTTTATATATATATATACACACACACAAGAAAGAGAGTGTGCTGTGGTGGTAGGCCATAACAAAACATTGTCACATCACCGATTAATAATTGAATTAAAATAGTAAAGTATAAGCTGTCAAAACCAANTCTCAACCAAAAAAAAAAAAAAAAAAGTGTCGTCTACGTGATTTAAAGAAAACCCGATTGAATTGATTTGAGAGTTTGAATTTGTATGCTATCTACTTAGATGGTTGAAAATAATATACTCAAAACTCATAAGACTTCAAATTCGATCGTAAACGTGCAGATTGAAGCTTTGTTTTGAACGTGTAACTTATGTTTCGTAGGAACGTGTAACTCATAAAGAGATTTGAAGGGATAAAAAGGTAATTTTATTGGGTGGAAGTGTTTTTGAGAGGTTAAAGTTCATTGGACAAGACAATGGTGTGTGTGAGTTACTGTGTTTTGTTTTTAGGTATATGGAGAAAAAGGGTGGATTTGAAATTTGCAAGAAAAAAAAAGGAGCTATCCATTTGTAACTAAATTGCAACTGAATATTTACTCTTCTTTGCCATTTGGTCACTCAATTTTTTTTTTTTTTAAATGGATAATAAAACATTATAAATTTAGGTTCTTCTTTCTCCTTTGTGCTTGATTGGTGGATTCTATCTCTTTAGATAGTGAGAGCTATGGGCTTTTTTTTTTTTTTTAATATATATAACATTTTAATCGTGTTTTTCATATATAAATAAATAAATAAAACAATCTTATTATTTTTCAATAACTTTTTATTAAAAAAAATTGATCACCTACATTGGTTTTAAATTTTATTAAAAGTATAGGGATTAAATTCGAATATTCATAAATAAGGGGTGAAATTAAATAATACTCAAAATATAGGGGTAAAAAAAGATATTTGCATTTTATTTTATTTTATTTTTTGAAAATGGTGGGTTTCATAAAATGGTTCCATCACTTGGAATGTGTTTGCGCCAAACCCACAATTCCCTCTCCCCACCCTATAACAAAATGGTCCAATTCATATATATATATATATATATATATATATTTTTTTTTTTTTTTAATTTGTCACATTTTACCATATTATTCGCGAGACATATCCCTTCTTTATTTATAAATGAAGTTTGCAATACGAAACATAGAAGTATAATTGAAATTTTAGTAACTTGCATATAATTTTGGACGTAATATGTACTTGAAAAATGATGGAAATTTCTTAAGAACCAACCTTTTTACCTTCGATAATTCAAAAAAAAAAAAAAAATCTCCAACCCACTAAAAATCTCGACACTCTCTTTCATTATCTTTTAGCTTCGACTTTTTGTAATGCAAGTAAATATCATAGAAAGATGCACGATAACGATACCTCGACTTGTAAAGTGTCAAAAAAAGTCATTGAAGTTTTCATTTAATTTTGTTTATTTCACTTCATTAAAATATATACGATCGAGAGATCTGAGGTTCCAATCTTTTATTTGCACGTCTTTAAATTATAAAAAAATTTAAAAAGTAAGTTTCTTCAAATTAGTTTGACGTTAGAACAAAAATGCCTTTTCCCTATATTGTATTTATTTTTCTCGCGTTTTTTAATTATTTAATATATTCTAAATATATTTTCCTTGCGAGAGAGACTAAATATAAAACTTGGTGAGAGTGGGAATATTATAATTAAATATTTAACTAAAAATGAATTGAAAATAAAAATAATAAAAATAAATAAATAAAAAGTTAGTCGCAGTATCACATCATCACATTCCCAGTGCACTCCTTCGTTCGATCAACATCTCAATTTTTTTAAACCATAAATGGAAGGAGAAAAATGTCAATAAATTTTTTGCTAATAATAATAATAAATAAATAAATAATATTCCATTTTTCTTTTTAAAAAAGTTATTACTCCCAAAAATATTCCAAACTAAAAAGAAAATGGTTTAAACATTATTTTGTCCTCATGTCTTTTTAAAACCCCACATTCTATTTTTTTCTATATGCATACTTAATTTTTTAAATAAAAATATCTTATTTAATTAACCACTTAGAAAATGCCTTAATTAATCAACCTAATAATGTAAAATAAAAGAATATATCATTTTTATTCAATAAAATAATTTATATTATTATTTGTTTTTAAGTTTATATAATATGATTTTTCGACCCAATATTAAACTATCTGGATCCGTCCCTAAGTACGGATTTTAATTATTATAAACTTGGGGAATAAAATGTATTTTAGTGTCACACTCACACATTTACTTCAATTAATTAATGAAATTTTAATATAAGATAAAATTACTAAATTTAAAATATTAGGAGCTGTCCAACCCTTCGTGCCTACTGATCATTCGTTCCTGACGTAGTTAAGAGTTTGCACAAAATAAAAAATAAAATAAAACCTTCGATTTGGTTTATTTAATTATTTTTAATATTAAAAAAAAAAACAATTACTATATTTATTATTATACAAAAATAAAAAGGAAAATAATTATAATAATAAGACGGCAGTGGCATTACAGGAGTTGGGCCGAGTCCCATACCTACACGTAGACTCGTGGCAGGCACGTCTTGGTGCACCCAAAAATTAAATTACAATTTTGCCCTTCAACGTTGTGGGCTTTGTTATTTTGTAAAATTTATAAATCTAAAATTAAAAATTATATAAAATAATTAAATTTGTCTTCTTAAATTAAAGAAATAAACAACTGTCAGATCAGCGCCGTTAAAGTAATCCAACGGTGGGAAAAGCTGATTCCAAATCGGATTTTAAATGTCATTTTAATTAAAAAAAAAAGAAAGAAATTAGTTTCGCGAAAATCACAAGGCACGCTCACGCGTGGGGATTGGGAGAGAAAAAAAAGGAAGAGAAGAAAGCAGGGCCCACATAAAACCTGCCAGCTGTCAAGCCTACTCACCCCCTGTTGTCTCGTGTTCCGTCAAATTTACGCGCTCCACACAGTTCACACATAAAAGTCAAATCTTTGACTTGTTCAACACCGCCCGATCTACTTTCAGATCATCATGTACATTCCGTGCCCACTTGCTCGACTACAGAACACAACCCCCACTCGCTTCCCATGAAGACCACGTGGTCGAATCCCATTTGCCTAATCTACGAGCAACGGCTACCGCCAGCTACAGCACAGTATTTGCAGATTCCGGCATCTTAGGCATCGAAGGAGTGTTCTTTGCCAAAATCTTTACTTTATAATATTTAATTTTATAAAGTTTCCATTCTATTTTAGCATCAATACCGAGCATAGCTTTATAGATAAAGAATCGATCGCGTATTTTTCCTCCTCCTTTTACTTCATTAATTATCACATTAAAATCTTTTTAAAAATACGTGATCATATTTTCGACCACAACATTAAACTACAAGAATTTGAATTTCCAGCCTCGAGAAAATAAGTAACTATTCTCAAACTCTCCAGATAAATTTATATCGTTTAATCGATAATTATATAAATTTTGAATATTTGTATTAATAAGCTCATATAGATATATAGTTAATGAGTCGGATATTGAAAGGTAAATATTAAGTGGTCGAATAATAATGACAATGACGTAAAATCATGGATTAAAAAGGGAATAAATCTAGAAGCTAAATCGAGATGAAATTTAAATATTTTTTTCACGACAAAAAGGAAGGGAGGTTTGAAGCTGAAGGATTGCAAACGTCTCATTCCAAATATTTATAATAAATAATAAGAAAAAAAGACTGTCACGTCTTTATGTTTATGCCACGAAAATAGTAATAGATTCCCTAAATTACACTTTAATATGCTTGGAATCTTTTACCAATTAACCAAAAAATCATTCCTATAAATAAATAAAATAAAATAAAATAATTCATCTTTTCCCCAATTAATATTATGAAAAGCTATATAATTTTAAATTTATTTATTATACTTTAAAAAAATTATAATTTACAAGATCAAAAAAATGTATTTAAATTTTTTAAATTAATATATTATTGTGGTGTGGTTTAAATAATATGGTTAAATTAAAAAAAATAAAAAATTAAACTCATAAAGTCAATACAAGTAATAAGAGGCAGA